AAGGGGGAGGGGGTCGAGGGGGCACAGACGAGAGCGCACTGAAGGAGGCAATTAGCGTTCCCCCGTGGCGGGATGTCCGAGGCGAGCTTTGGAGAGCAAACACGGGTATTGATTCGCGCGCATCGGGGAGCCAATGAGGGGGCGCCGTGCCGCGCGGCCGCCGACCAATCCCAGCCCGCCGCCGAGCACGTGTGCCTCGCGAGCGACTCTCAAGCTCCAAAGCTCCGCTCCGACTCCTCGTCCCGGCCAACTGTTGATATTTGCCCGGTGCTCAACGAAAACGGAACGAGTGTTTTCGGAACGAGGGGTCTGCCGGTCAATAGGTTTCGTGCAAACTTTTGTCGGGGTGAAAAGAAATGAGTTGCTCATTTTGGAACCCTCAAAAGGAACTTTGGACTCTCCGTCGGATTCAGTTTTACAACCATTTTGATGGAAGAACTTGAAGTTGTATTCAAATTTTGACGGTTGAAAACTTGAGAAAACGTGGATTTGAGAAAAAGCTGTTCAATGTCGTTATTGACTTATTGGAGGCTATTAAAGGAAACTAAACGTTCTCTATCGGTTTAAAATTTACTTTACCGCACGCAACTATTTTTTGGGATGGCTAGCTTCGAATAGCGCAAGGTTCACTAAAATACGGAACATCGCAGAAAGAAATTGCAACAAATAGAACAGTTTCCTTGACGATTTTTCTCTTAGTTGAAGATTACAGTTGTAACAGCATGAATTCTCCAATTGGAACGGAAATTGTCAAGTCACGATGAAGTTGTTTGTTGCGATAGACGGATATTTTTTCTTAGTAAAATTTTCGTCGTAATACCAAAAAAAGGGGGGAAAAGGGGATAAAGGGGGAAAGGGGGAGGAAAAATGGGTGCCAAAAGTAGATACCTTGACTCAACGAGCTTGTCTTTTACCACAACAAAAAATTGTCGAAACCACAAATTTCCTCACTAGAGTGAATCCAACAATGTTCAACAGATATTCGTAGATTGTCATTGTCTCTGTATTCCACTGAGCAAAGAGTCTATTGCAAACTTATACTGGGGCAAAAAGAATAGTAACTAATCGGGGAAAGTGGCTTAAAAATCACCCTAGGAAAATAGAACAATTCTGGAATTCACTCTTAACTTCACACCTTTCGTAAGTAGTAAGTTCTCGCTTTGAAAATGATATTACAACATTCCCACGAATTACTTCAAGATTGAGAGATATCTAAGGACGTCCTTAACATAGCCACATAATAAAGAAATTTTTAACAAATCTCGAGTAAAATCAAACGATATAGTAGTTGGAAGTAGATCCTTGCAAGAAATAATGAGGATTTGCCACTGCAAAAAATTAAAAAGTATGGAAGAAACAATTCTATATTTTGACAAAATTTTAAAGTAGGCACAAACCTATCTTAACATTTTCAAATCTTACAATGAATTTTCTTTTGTATTATGTATTTTCAATGTGTCTTGAGGCAGATCACTGCTAGGAGCTATTTCCAGAGTCAAACTCCTCAATTTTACTCGAGATTTGTGAAAACTGTCCTTTTTATGGTGCAATGTTAAAATCTCCCGTAACCTCGATGTAACTCATATACGGCCTCTTCAGGAAAGGAGCCATCCAAGGAACGACGTCAAATACGACCTTCGATGATAGAGAAGAGTTTTTTAGAGTACCTTCCAAAATTCCTCTGAAAAAGACATACTGGGATATCTGGGTCTGACCTCGGGGGTTGAATTCCTGCCCCCAGATGAAGAATGCCAGTCAAGGTAACGACTGCCGCACAGTGGATCGAGTTAATTCGAGAGGTCAGACAAAATGTGAAAACTTTAAAAGCTCATAGCTCCGTTTATACAAAACTTTGAGGTTTTAAAAGTGATTCCATTGGTTTCCTTGAGAAATTTCCATCTGAACGTGCCCCTTTAAATTTGAAATGTGACGATTTAACTATCAAAATTTGCAATTTTAGACGACATTTCATGTCCGACCTCTTTAATTGACTCGATCCACTGTGTGCCGCTGTGCGGGATATAAATGATGTAGTAGCCCTTACGTGCGCCTGCATTAATGAGGTGAAATGAATGAAATAGACCAAAAGTGTAATAGACAAAGAGTGATTGAATTATGCCAACATATCCTCGGTATCCATTCCCCAACGCACGATGATCGTCCACCTGGGTCCTTCCTCCTCTCACCCCCTTGACTATCTCTCGCCTCTCTGCTCCGAGGTCTTGATGAATGGAAAATGGTCAAGGTCTCAAGGTCCGTCACAGACTCCCTCGCGTCGGCTGTCGATCCTTCTGCCTTGTTAAGGAAAAACGCCGCATGAATATAAGAGAGTTGCCTTTCCGTTGATAAAATGTCAATTTTTGAGGAAAGCTATGAATATTTTTCCTTGGAATTTTCAGCAACTATGGTTGAAATTGCGAAAAAAATTCCATGAAAAATTGCAAGAAAGATTTACACGAATTTTCTCGAGGATTCGTGATTTACCAAAAGAAATTTGGCAACGCCTGAAGGTTCATACGGTGTTTTTCCTTAGCACTGCAGGATTCTGGTCCACAACAAGCAAATGAACCGAATTCTAGAGAAATGCACCCAGTTGCGTCAGGCGAGCCGAGGAACAGTGCTATGCTTTGCAGTATCGAATCATCTGCCATTTAAACCTACGAAAGAGGATCGAAAAATAGGATGTCTGGAAAAAACCCCTTGATAGTCGATCCTTTATCATAGTTTTAAATGGGAACATATCGGTAATTGATCATTTTCGCCTCGCCATTGCCGAGGAAAAGAGTTTTGAAGTTTTGTTCCTTCATAAGACTTAATTTTAAGGACAAAGCTTACCGACTATTTTCGTGTTGAAAATGTCTTTTATTTGGATTTTGAATTTTCGAAGGAAGAAATTAACGACTCATTGAATTCTAAACTAATCCTCCACTCATTATTTTCCAAAATGCGACTTAGGGCGCATTTCTGTTAAACTAAGTCCAAATGTGGTGCATTATTGCGATTAGACCAAAGAACCTCTATAGGAAGAGACTCAAATAGACCAGTATACAGGAAAGCAGATTTGAGGTGAAATATTTTAGCAAGTTCATGCTAATACTGAAAAAAAACATTGGGTCAATATTTTTATTTATTTAGGCATAATTTTCATAATTAATGATGTTTTAAACGTTTGAAGCGAATCGTATTTTCAAGGATTTGACAGCACCTATTTTAATAAGTGAGTTTTTCAAGTACGCAGTGAAATGGGCTCTCAAAAATGTTTTATGAGAAACAATAAATATAACAATTTGTGCTTTTAGTAAATAAAAATTATATTCCAAGACCTCTGTCAATGGCTCAGGTCACTGTGCGCTAGCGGAGCAACGATATTCAGCAAAATACACTGCGAGTCTATGCCCAAAAAGTTAAGAGCGCTAATTACTTTCGAAAGTTGAGGAGTGTGGGGCTGAGGGCGAATTCTCTATCTTGACCACCCTCACTGCTCCCATCCCGAGGCGTATCCTCATTCCCACCCCCTCTCAACGAGTACTTGCAGGTAAGTACAGGAGCACACGTGCATTGTTTTCGGCAGATTAATTCCTCCGATTGAGTGAGGGCATATTGTTAACTGGCGGGCACTGAAAACTTGGTTGTCATGTTGTGTGAAAAAATCTGGATATTTCATATGGGTTAAATTGGGGGAAAATGCTGATTCCTCAGCCTTATCTAGCAACGGTGCCGGGAGACGCCCTAATTGAGCGATAAGCATCCCCTTCGCCGCGCTCTCGTTTCAAGCGCTTAGCTTAGCTCAATGGGCGAATGCGCTCGATCTGTTCGAGTAGATACCTTAAACGCATCTTGAGGCTAATGGTTACGTCAATGGAACCGTGTTACGAAAAAACGACGTATGACTATGAATATTACATTGCCAAACTTCTCCTGGTTCTATACGAATTTTTTGGGAACTTGCGAACATTTTCTTTTAACTAAAACCTTCAGCCACGGATTCAACTGGAGTCAGCCTAACTGCCTAATTTCACTCGATTTTTACTTCAATGATTCTGAAAATTTTAAGAAAATTACTCATAACTATTCTTAAAATTGAATACATTATCATGACAAATTTGGCAACATTCGAATGCTCATACGACGTTTCTCCATTGCAGAGCAGTGTGTGACATCTATCATGAGCATCGAGTTCGAGGGATCATAAAGTGCTTTTGGAACGGAGAATTCTAAGAATTTTGTTTGAATATTAACGTTTCATTGATTTTTTTCCTGTATGCCAAGATCTATAGTGTGAAATTTTGTGTACTGCTCCTAAAATTAAGTCCATTTGGACCAATTAATGTACAAGAGCCAGGAGGATTTACGAGCGAATGGATTGTTGAAAACAGTGTGTTTTTCATATTTTTGTTTAATAGGGGCTACGAATTTTTGGAAGTATCATATTTATATAAATCAATGAATGTTTGTTCTTTCACTGTCCTTGTCTTTTTTATATATTTTATTTTTTTATTTTTTTTTTTCGGCATTTAAGCCGGTATAATATAAAAAATTTGAGCGCGCCCTTGTTAACAAAAATTGACGATATAATTTGATGCATTCTCCTCTCCTTTTTCTCTTTTTCGAGAGCGGAACTTGTTAGCAGAAGTGGGGCAGAACATCATTCGAGGAGATCAGTCTAATTGGCATTACCTATCTGAAAGATTCACGTAGGGAGAAAAACTCAAAAGGTTGGATGAGCGAGCAGAGGGGAAGGACCTTTCAAAATATGCAGACAAAACAGCTTAATGAATCGATCAAAAGGTAAATGATGCAGATAAATTTAAGCTCATCCGATGAGCATTACGTTCGGAGACCCTTTATTATATTAAACGTTATTCATTACTTGAATTTTGAATGTTTTAGAAAGAGAGGCTTCGAAAAAAGACCGTCTGTCCTTATAATACTAATGAATCAGTTTTGGGTTTTTTTTTTAGTAAGATCTCTATTACCGTCGTCGGCCACAACTAGAATACTAATGGGGTATAGTTTGCTCAAGCTCATTTTTATTTTTCTTACACTGGTTACTTTTAGTATGACTTCGGCGAGCAATCCTCATGCCGAGGAAAGACACAAACGTTGAGATACTGCGCTTGAAACGATTTTAGTGTAAAATCGCCGATCAGCTCTGTTACAGATATTGCAGTAAAATCCGGAATACATTTAATTCTTGAGCCAATTTGGCCCATACTGGAGGTTGGACTTCAGCAAGAACTGTTGGTTCCAGCGGCGAGGCGAGAATGATCGATTATCGATATTTTTCCATTTGAAGCTATGGCGAAAGATCGATTATGAAGGTGTTCGTTGCGAACACCCTGTTTATCGATCCTTTTCCGTAGGTTTAAATCGCAGATCAATCGATATATCGCAAAGCACGCCACTGGTTACTTCAACTCTTATGAATCGGATTCCTTATTCATATCACTTGGATTTTCTGAGGGAAAATACGAACAAACAGGACTCCTGGATTTTACCGGAGACCATCAAGCATTTTTTACTTAGAATAAAAAAGAGCAAAACTTAAAGTTAAAATGAACAAAAAGGAAAACAAGTAGAGAAGTATTAGATCACGCGGCCGAAAAGTACGAATGCAATATCAGCAAGTGGATACCGTGAGCTTCAAGCCTGTGTGGCTTAATACGCGCTTCATTGCTTTGCTTTTTTATCTTTCGTGGCATTTATTAGTTTCTTGCTAAACATATGCGAATGAGAGAACTCACCCAGCTGCAAGGCTATTTGGCCACATGGAGAGCCAGGAGAGGCTGAAACAAACAAACAGACGAACAAAACATTAGAGACTTTAGTTCAAATAAACATTAACAAATTTTACTCGCGAACAAAATATTCGCACAATATACAAAGAGTCAAAGAGCAATTACAGTGCTGGTGGAAATAGACTACACTTTTTACGTACTTAAAGGAGTATGTATCAGTACCCCAGAGCCAACCCCCATGCATTTTTGAAGAGATGATAAAAACGAAAGTGCCTTCAATTTGAAGCATGCAACACGCACATCTGTAGACCACAAATAGTTGTATCAAGCCTCCACGACCAACTTACAATCAATGTACAAATAGGTCGAAATAATCGCCGATTAGAATCAGTCATTCTAAAAAAGATTTTAACGCCAGAAATTGTAACCTGAGAAAAACGATATGCACAACCTTTAAGCGACCCATCAGACGCTGAAATATTGAAGCAATGAATTACTATTGAATCACATTATTATGTAATTTACGATTTATACGGGCGATTATTACAGTTTCTAATGTTTTCCTCGACTTTTCATTTCTGTTGCTGAAGTCATTTTAGAATGAACGATTCAATTATTGCCCTTAGATACTCTGGTCTCGCGCCGCTAATTGGTAATACTCTCGCCTACATAGGTACTCCGCTATCAGAGTGCTACAACTGACGAGACCCGTCCATCTCTGAAGAAGTAAGAAAGTAGGAAATGCAGTTTGTTAAGTTTTAGTTTTAAGCCACGTAGATAGATACAAGAAACACTTGTAGTAGTTACGATATATTTAAATAAAATTTCTTTTAAAAAAAAAAAAAAAAAAGAAAGTAGGAAGTGCCTTCAATTTTTTAATATGCAACACGCACATCCGTAGAACACGAATAGTTGCATCAGGCGCCACAGTCAACTCAGATTTAGTCTTCTTGCCTATTAGCAGGACACTTTTTTCTTTCCATACATGTTCGGTCTTCACAAGGACTGATTCATATGTATGGGTATGACACTTCACAAAATAAGTATATTTTAGAGACCTAACTTGAAAAATCTAGGCGATGCAAATGTATGAGGCAAAATTTAAGTGCGGAGATCATCGCTGTTTTTTCGCCCTAAGATAATAATTGATGATCGACTTTTTGGCATATAATTCGACGAATGAGAGCGATAAATGCCGAGGCTAAAAACTTTGTTAAGCGAATTTTTGAGAGTGAGGTTATGTTTGCCGAACGAATCGCTTAACACTTCCGCCATCAATCGCCATTGAGCGAATCTGGGCGTTGACTTTTGAATGTAGCTTTTAGAGGCGAGCCCTGTAAAATAAATTGGCTCTCCCCTCAAATTGGGCACTGGCTTGCTGCTTTGCTGAGGAAAAACACCGTATGAGCCTTCAGGCGTTGCCAATTTTTTTTTGACAAGAGGCGAATTTCCACGTGAATTTATGAATACTTCGGATTACTTCATTCAATTACTTCCAATTTTTTGGATAATTTTCTTCGCAATTTCTCCTAAAGTTCCTGAAAATATCAAGGGAAAATATTCATATTTTTCCGCAAAAATAAATGTTTTATGGGAGAAAATTTGAGAGCTCTCGAATGTTCATCCGGCAAATTTCCTCGGATAAAACCTGTATTTTTTAGGAAAGTTATGCGCATTTTTCCTTGAAATTTTCAGATATTTTGGATAAAATTGCGAGCAATATCGTCCGAAAATTTTGGAAAATAATATTCAGAGTTTTTCCAGTGAATTCGGGTTTTTATCGGAGGAAACTTGGCAACGTCTGAAGGCTCATACAGCGTTCTTCCTTAGCACGGCGGCGTAGGTGTCATTTCCCAAGGTAGTTTGTGGGTGTTGGCACTCGGCAGGCTGCAAGTGCACACGCGGCACACGTGCCGTGGTCTCGTGATTGGTGCCGCAAAGAGGGCACGAGCACCGATTCTGGCGATCACCAGGAACACGGCGCTCTGCCACCACCGCCGCTTGCGCTAATCGTTAAGAGGCAGGAGGTCAAATAAATAAAATAGAACGAGCGAGTGTCGAGTGCTGAGTGCCGAGTGCGTAATCCGTGCCCATGTACACAAAGCCGCGCCACAGTAAATCTGCAAATAGCACCCGCTTCACCCGTTCTGCCTCGCCGCTCGAAAATAGCTCATCTGCATAGAGGTCCTGTACTGCCGTGCTAGGGAAAAACGCCGTATGAACCTTCAGGCGTTGCCAAATTTCCTTCGGTAAAACGCGAATTTCCCGGTAAACTTATGAATTTTTTCCTCCCAATTTTTCAGGTAATTTTGTTCGCAATTTCACCTAAAGATTCTGAAAATGTAAAGGAAGAATATTCATAACTTTCCTCAAAAATAAACATTTTATCGCAGGAAATTTGGCAACTCTCAAATGTTCATACGGCGTTTTCCCTTTGCACGGCAGTGTAGAGGTTGTGCGATTCTACCCGGCCCGGAGGATTATGAGTGCCCTATGCCGCGAGTAAGAACCTGCCGAATAAAACGTCCGAGCTAACGTTGCGTCCTTGATGCAGTTACGCGATTTTATCCGGCCCGAGGGACCATAAGTGCGTTATGCCGCGAGCGAGAACCTCGAGAACCTGCAGAGTGAAATATCCGAGCTAACGTTGCGTTCCTGAGGAAGTTACGCGATTGTATCCGACCCGAGGGACCATGAAACAAAAACCAAGGCTCTGCATGGAGTGTCTATTGTGGGTACTCGATTTCCTTCGGCCCGAAGGACCGTGAATCTGCTACGGTTAAACTGTGGATGTGTTTGTGGTTTCTATGAGAGAGTTATGTGATTCTATCCGACCCAGGGAACCATAAGTGAGCTGCGGCATGGTGAAGGAATATCACGAATCTAAAGTGTTTTTATTAAGGATGCTAGAGTCTCCTTGGGTCAAAGAACCGTGAACTTGTTTCTGACGTCTTAGTTAGAAGCCACGAATATGCTTGATATCTCCATACTTACGTATTTATATTTTAAGATGTTATCTACAAATCGTAAAAACCTATCGGAGTTAATCACACCCAAAAATTCAGCTTTCAAACTCCCTAAACTGCCGAAATAGAATCGAAGCTTGTTACTACCGAACAAGGATAAAACTTTCAACGTTATTTTAGAGGCCGTCTATTAGTTACGTAACGCACTTTTTCGGCGTTTTGGACCACCCTCCCCCTAAGACGCTTTTGTGCCGTGGGACTCTATTCTTAAACACGTAAAACAAAATGGCGTAAGGCTTGACCCCCCTCCCCCTAGAGCGTTACGGAAATTAGGAATGGCCCCTCGTCGTGACATTATCCTTTTATGATAACCTTTGACCGGCATTTTTCAAACTATCAAAAACTGGTCAAGTACCATCGGAATCACACTTAGGTACTATACAAAAAAAAAAAAAAAAAAAAAAATCACAACTCTGACGTGAGATTCCTCCCTATAGATCGCATCATATCACATTCGCCGTTAAAGGTGTCGAATGTCAGTCAACAGTGTATAATCAAAGTGGTGGCAACATCGCAGCAGGGGGTAATCATCGCCAGGAGCGTGGGTTTAAAGAGCGACTGCGACACAATCCATGCAATGTTTCGAAACACAACAAGGTGGGACGAAGGGCCACGGCCGAAGGGTGGTAGCCGCGTCCCGTCATGGCCCACCCCTCGCTCTGCAGCCGCCGAGAAAGGGGGATGCGCCAGAAGCTCCACCGAACCTCGTTCCGGGCAAAAATCACGGACTTACTTACGCTTCCATTTCAGAAATGCGTGGTTTTATTCGGACCGAGGGACTGTATTCAGCAAAAATCGCGTATCTTCACTGGAATGCTTTTAATACTACCCTATTATGTCCTGCTCGAGGGACCATAAATCGCATATCTATGTAGGGATCCGATGGGCGCCATACGTGATTTCACCCGGCCCGAGGGACCATAAACCGTTTTTAGAAAGACCGCACATCTATGTTGAGATGTCATTCGAAGTACGCGGTTATGTCCAGCCCGAGGGACTAAAAATCACACATCTACGCTGAAATCTTTGAGAAACTTTAGGTGGTTCTATTCTCCATCTAGCCAGAAGGATCGAAAACCATCCACAAGGCGAACTGCACTTTCCATTCTGAGATCCGAGATTCTATTCTGGCGTTCTAAGGGAAAACGCAGTATGACCAATTGAGAGTTGCAAAATTTCCTTCAATAAAATATATATATTTGAGAAAAGTTGTGAGTATTTTTCCTTGAAATTTTCAGATACTTTAAATCAAATTGCGAAAAAAATTATCCGGAAAATTGGAAGAAAAGTATTCACAAATTTTTCTGAAAATATGCGATTTTTAAAAGGAAATTAGGCAACGCCTGGGGGCGCTTACGGCATTTTACCTTGACACGACAGCATTGACGTTAAGGGGTTCTCCATCTAGTCAGGGTCTCTGGGATTGATGACCGTTAATTTGATGCTCGGTAGTGCGACTCGAAGTTGGCGAGGGGTGCGTGGCGCGGGGCGCAGGGCTACGGGAGGGGTGAAACGGGGAGGGACGTGATTTATTTCATTGCAACGACGTCTGTTATTGTCGGTGGATGCTGGTGCCAAGTCCTCGATGCAGCGCGGGACCAACCGGCTGGGCGGCTGTTACCCCAACTTCGGACCCGGAGCAAAATGGAGTTGATTACCGTCTCCGAGCCGGCGTTAAAGTCAACCGGCCAATTGCAGCCTGGAGTCCCTCTGTTGCTCCAGGCAACTGTTCTCCATGCGTTCTCCCCTCCCGGAGAGTCGGCCATACCCCACGTAGCCTTCAGCTGGGGCGAATTCGGGGAGTCTAAATTTTGTTCTCCTCTGATGCAAAGGCCTGGTTACATTTTTATGTGAGCCGCAGGAAGCACGGAAATAATATGTAGGCAATAGAGTTCACTTTAGAATTTAGTTATTAGTTATGCTCTTATATCAGAGAACTGACGATTGAGCATTCGCTCCGTAGCCATTAATATGTTCATATTAAGTCTCACGACTATTTTCCACCAAAGGAGTAGTCTAAGA